CACATCCCAAGCCAGAATTTTCCTCTTGCTTCCAAAGAGTCTCTCAAGAGGACCCTTCGATCAAAACAGCTTGATGGTAACCTCCTTCAAGGCAGCTCCTTTGGTCTAATTTCATGTTAGACCTCATCAATTCAACATACTGTATTCACAAAGTGGAACAAGAAAATTCCACCCTTGACTAGTCCAGTACTTCTGTCCCATCACACAAAGCTCTCCCTAACTTGGCAGATCTCCAATCCCACCCTAGAATTGGGAAAGGCTTTCTTTCACACACCTTGGAAGGTGGTGACAAAAGAAGCCAGCTTTACAGGCTGGGGCAGATTTTAAAATTTTCTGACTGTCCTGGGAACCTTGTCAACACAGGAGTCAAAACGTACACCAGCATCCTGAAACTGAGAGCCAATATATATTTTCTACAACACTGGATCTCCCTTCTGTAATGTCACCCAGTCTGGGTACAGTTGGACAATGCTTCAGCAGTGGCCTACACAAATCATCGAAGTGAGGGTGGACACCAGAAGCAGGCTGCTCTATAAGGAACAAGTAATATTCTCCTGCATGGAAACTCACATTCCAGCTCATCCAGCCATCCACATCCTTGGAGTGAATAATTGACATGCAGACTTCCTAAGTTATAAATGCATATACCCAGAAAGTGGTCTATGCACCCAGAGATCTTTCAGTATCTTTCAAATGTGGGTAAAACAAGATGTAGACATCCTGGTCTCCAGATTTAACCAGCTGAACAAATGTGTAGCCAAGCCCAGGAATCCTCTGGTCCTCACAGTGGGTGTTCTGGTCATTCCTTTAGCTCTATATGTCTTCCCTCTAAAGGTTCTCCCTCACCTACTGCACAAGATGGATGATGAAAGGGTTACAGTGGTTTTCATAGCACCAAATTGGCCAAGAAGAATGTTTTATAATAGATGTACTTGGGATTTTGATGGCCAAGACTTAAACGGAGCTACTGGCCCAAGCCCCCTGTATCATCCTGCTTCTCAGTCACTAAAACAGTTGAAACCCAAGCCCTAAACAATAAGAGTAATTTTGCTTTTTTTTTTTACTCCCACCTTGCTCAGAGCAAGAAAACTCAACTCCCAGAAGATTAACCATCGTACATGGAAGGCTTAATTTGTCTGGTGCAAGGACAATAAGCAAAGTCCCAGGGAATTCTCTATCACTCGTATTTTGGCCTTTCTTGAGTCTAGTCCTGACCTTCATCTGGCCCAGAATACCCTCAAGGGACAGGTTTCTGTTTTATCCATTTTATTCCAGAAACCTGTCACATTGTAATTTTCTCAAGACTTTTATTCAGGGCATTGTTTATATAAATGCAACTTCCTGTGTCACCTTGAGATCTCAAAATGGTACTTTCTGTTCTCTTCTTTCCACCTTAATGAAGACATTGTTCTTCCTTCCCGATCAGAATAGTAGCCACAAATGCCACTGGCCACCAACTCTACTTGTCTCCATAGTCTCCTTCGGATGAGATGAACTCTTCCTCTCTGTCCCCTTTTGACTTTCTTGTGCAAACATTGAGTCAATTAAAGTTTTACTAAACCCACAATAGTAAAATCAGTCTGTGTATGCAGTAAAGCATGCTTGTTATACTCACTGTGGAACCTAAGAGGTCAGGGGTTTTGCATCCTCCTAGAGCAGAAAGAAAACGCCTACAAGCTTTAACCAGTGCTCAGCTGATGTCACAGGACCCCTCTGCTGATGAGAAAGGTATTTAGCCGTTTATATTTACTAAAATAATTGCACTTCCATGTTCTGTGTACTATGGGAGACCAGATATAGTGAATACAGGGTCTTGGGTTTAGTAACATTTTAATTCTGGTAGGTGCAGTATATGTTGGCATAAGGTGAAGTGGAGCACATATTAAAATTTTGCCACGCATTTGGGAATCTTTGGAGAACAAAGTGTCACTATTGACCTTTTATGGACTTATTTGCATAAAGCATATTTTTTGGTTTGAGCGCTGTTTGTATTTTTATATTTGCTTTAATTTGGTTCTAACACAGTTGTTTGTAACAGCAGTTGCACTTAGTATCTAATGGATGTTCTCACACTAACACACGTTTATCAGTGCGGGTGTGTTGCTTGGTGCCTATGTCAGAGTACTTGAAGTGAGTGCTGTGGCCTAAATATGGGTCAGTTGAGTTCCTCTGCAAGAAGCAGCTAGTACGCATGCCTCTGGAAATACTCTAAACAAGTTTACCCAGAAGATCAGGGGAAAAAAAAGAGTACTCTCTTACCACTTGATATGGAACCAAGAAGAGTTTGTTTTATTCTTTTCAGAACTTAAAGTAGAAATGGGGGGGGGGGGGGGGGGGGGGGGGGGGCGCAGCCTTCGTGGCTATATGGGTCCAAAATTTTGTGTCCAGAGACTACAACTGGAGTTTTGCGCCTTGCTTCCTCCATACTGTCAACATACCCATGGCACCTGACAAAAGTACAGGTTGTTTCCTACATTAGAACAATTTTACTCTCAGGGGGTCATTGCCCCTTTTCAAGACCTAGAAAGGTTTCACCGTTACTTTTCCAACCTATTCACAGTGCTCAAGCCAGATAACAATGTGCGACCAATTCTGAACCTCAAGTGCTTGAACAAGGTCCTACATGTTAAAAAGTTAATATGGAATCTGTAAAGTCAGTGTTTACTTCCTTCATCTGGGGAATTTCCTGTCTTTGATGGACATAAAAGATACCTACAACCACATCCTTATACAGTACTTCCTCTTTATTAGAACTGCATTTGCTGTGCAGTAGGGAAACAGAGTTTTCAGTTTGGGGCTCTGCCTTTTGGCCTAGCCATAGCACTGCAAGTTTTCACCTAGGTGCTGGCCCTGGTTTTGGCTTTTCTGCCAGGGGAAAACCTATTCTAGGATATCTGGATGTTCTGTCTCTGTGGGAGAATTCAAGAAAAGTCCTCAGGGACATTGTGCAGCAGATGCTGCAAGTTCTACAAGACATCGACTGGGTTCTCCATCTCTTAATGTTGACCCTGGTGTCACAATACTGGTTGGAAAATGTAGGCCTTGTCTTGGATTTTTTTTCCCCCCAGGAAAAGCTTTGGAGCTATGGTACAAGGTGCAGGAGTTGAGATCCCTGGAATGCCCCTCCATTTGTTTCTGCATGAGGGTGCTGGAGTTGATGGTAGCCTACTTCAAGGCAGTCTCCTATGCACAATATTATGAAACCGTTGCAACTCAACATCCTGAAAGTGTGGGACAAGAGGACTCTACTTGGATCAATAAATAAACGTGATGTGTAGTGCTGCCTCTATGACAGATAAATCCGTAATCAAATTGTGCATCAAGACACCATATATCCACAAACAAAGTAATAAAAATAAACAGTTATAAATACAACAATCAGTAGGTTTCATATAATAATAAACATCACCACTAAATCATGTGATAAACTGATACAGTGCAATCCATCTCTATAATCCATAGTACACTTGATAATGAAGATTTGATAAATTAATCAAAAACCAATCACCAAAATAAGAATAAATAAATTTGGTGAAAAATAATTTATAAAGTGTAATCCATATCAAAATTAAATATTTTAAAAAGGTGCAGTCCATCTCAGTACCCTTTATCCCACTTTTCTTTTGTGTGCAACTACAAAACCCTGGTGTTGTAAACTTGCTTCAAGTGTGCATACACCATCTGTGCTCTTAGGTGGCCTCTCACCTTCGGATTAGACCACAGAGGTCTAATGGCGCTTATATTTAGCCAGATCAGTGCTCTGGATACACCTGCTTAGTTCTCCGGTCATCCAGTTGCTCACCAGTCAATGATCTAGGTACTCAGTCATAGAATTCCGACCATAGTGTAGTGTATTTAAAACTGAATATTTATTAAAACATTTATTTGATGCACTCACATTTCACCAGCGATTATCAGTTTCAAAACAATGTGCATAAGCCAGTAGGTAATCCCTTCACTGGCCTCCGGCGTCTTTTACCATAATTGTCTAGTCCTTCTTTACCTGTAACACCATGCCCCACGTGGCTTCATCAGAGGATCCTCTGATGAATTAAAAAAAAAAAAAACGCCAGTCCGCGTCACTCCTCTGTGAATGAGAAACTACAAGTCCCGACAGCTGCTGTTGGCTTGTTGTTCTCAATGAACTACCAGGGCGCTGTGGAGGTTCATTGAATATTCCTTTCAGTATATATGCTTGCTCGTACATCCCATATAGGCAAGCAGATATACTGACAGATATGCAGGAGACCTGCATGGCACCAATGATCTACTGATCACTGGTGCAATGTTTTACAGGCTCCTACAGCAAGAAATATTAAATGTAAATTTTTTTACCTGCAAAATAATTTGCATTTTATTATTTTTTTATCAAAAGATAAAGAATGTGATTTGGCCATAAGCAATACAAGAAGCATCTCATGATTGTAATTAGGCTTGAGGGGTCTTCATAGGAAATGGCATTCAAAGGGTAACTTGTTTACCTGGTAAACACTACAGTGACCTTAGTTATTTCCAGTAATTACAGGTAGGGTCTTTTTGGACTTGTTTAACAACAAGATCAAAAGTGTTAGGTCAGCCAATCAAAAACCCCTTCCAGCTTTAATCAATGATATTTCAGAGGGAAGTTTGAGCATTTTTTTCATTATGGAAGCACAGGTCTACAATGTAGCACACATTATTGCATAAATGGAAGCTACCTAGGTGCATTTTATAGATTGGATGTACAGTATCTCACAGAAGTGAGTACACCCCTCAATTTTTTGCAAATATTTTATTATATCTTTTCATGTGACAACACTGAAGAAATGACACTTTGCTACAATGTAAAGTAGTGAGTGTACAGCTTGTATAATGGTGTAAATTTGCTGTCCCCTCAAAATAACTCAACACACAGCCATTAATGTCTAAATCGCTGGCAACAAAAGTGTGTACACCCCTAAGTGAAAATGTCCAAATTTGGCCCAATTAGCCATTTTCCCTCCCCCGTGTTATGTGACTCGTTAGTGTTACAAGGTCTCAGGTGTGAATGGGGACCAGGTGTGTTAAATTTGGTGTTATCCCTCTTACTGGTCACTGGAAGTTCAACATGGCACCTCATGGCAAAGAACTCTCTGAAGATATGAAAAAAAGTATGGTTGCTCTACATAAAGATAGCCTAGGCTATAAGAAGATTGCCAAGACCCTGAAACTGAGCTGCAACATGGTGGCCAAGACCATACAGCAGTTTAACAGGGCAGGTTCCACTCAGAACAGGCCTCACCATGATTGACCAACGAAGTTGAGTGCAGGTGCTCAGCGTCATATCCAAAGGTTGTCTTTGGGAAATAGACGTATGAATGCTGCTAGCATTGCTGCAGAGGTTGAAGGGGTGGGGGGGTCAGCCTTTCAGTGCTCAGACCATACGCCGTGCACTGCATCAAATTGGTCTGCATGGCTGTCGTCCCAGAAGGAAGCCACTTCTAAAAAATGATGCACAAGAAAACCCGCAAACAGTTTGTTGAAGATAAGCAGACTAAAGACACGGATTACTGGAACCATGTCCTGTGGTCTGATGAGACCAAGATAAACGTATTTGGTTCAGATGGTGTCAAGCGTGTGTGGTGGCAAACAAGTGAGGAGTACAAAGACAAGTGTGTCTTGCCTACAGTCAAGCATGGCATGGTGGTGGGAGTGTCATGGTCTGGGGCTGCATGAGTGCTGCCGACACTGGGGAGCTACAGTTCATTGAGGGAACCATGAATGCCAACATGTACTGTGACATACTGAAACAGAGTATGATCCCCTCTCTTCGGAGACTGGGCCTCAGGGCAGTATTCCAACATAACGACCCCAAACACACCTCCAGGATGACAACTGCCTTGCTAAAGAACCTGAGGGTAAAGGTGATGGACTGACCAAGCATCTCTCCAGACCTAAACCCTGTTGAGCATCTGTGGGGAATCCTCAAACGGAAGGTGGAGGAGTGCAAGGTCTCTAACATCCACCAGCTGTGTGATGGCGTCATGGAGGAGTGGAAGAGGACTCCAGTGGCAACCTGTGAAGCTCTGGTGAACTCCATGGCCAAGACGGTTAAGGCAGTGCTGGAGAATAATGGTAGCCACACAAAATATTGACACTGGGCCCAATTTGGGCATTATCACTTAGCGGTGTACTCACTTTTGTTTCCATTGTTTTAGACATTAATGGCTGTGTGTTGAGTTATTATTAGGGGACAGCAAATTTACACTGTTATTCAAGCTGTACACTCACTACTTTACTTCTTCAGTCTTGTCACATGAAAAGATATAAGAAAAGGGGTGTACTCACTTCTGTGAGATACTGTATATACTGGATGGTGTAGTGTCACTATGCTTGACAAAAAAGTATTTTTGAATGCAACTCTGCAGACTGCTGTTTGTTGTATTATTTAAAAATACTTTGTTTGACATTGTTATCTGTTCTGGGATCCAATAAATGCTATCTCTTGCTGCTGCATAGATACTTAGTAATCATCATCATCCATACATATTTACAACATCGCTTAGGATTCATTCTTAGATTGGTGAATCAATAATAATAAGGAGATATGTAATTTCTCCATCAGTGCCGTAATCACTCCATGAAATCAGTCAAACCGGACTTATGCATTCCACCCTTTCAAACTCCTGCCTTTTCTATTTCGGAGGATAGGGATGGAAGGCATTCTGGTGATTTTCCTTGCATTGAATTGGCCCAGAGGGGTGTGGTTCTTCAATATAGTCAGACTCTTAGTGGACTCTCCGTGAGCCTCTCCGAACTGTCCGGGCCTTCTATTTCAAGGTTCCGTGCTCCATCCTGCTTCGTGGTCGCTTGCTTTGATGGCTTGGCTGCTGAAGCCTAAGTCCTAAAGGGACAGGGGTTTTGCTGACTCCATGATTCCCATCTTGTTGAAGGTCAGAAAGCCCTCATTTCATAGGGCTTACCATTGGGGTGATGGCTTCATCCCAGGAAATATACTTTGTGGCAATGATGTTGTCCTTCCTTGAGTCAGGACTAGACTGGTCCTTAGCCCAGAGGACTATAAAGGTCAAGTTTGTGCCTTGGCAGTGCTCTTTCATAGACTGTTTACATCCCACTCCTTGGTCAGAGCCTTTGTGTAAGGGGTGGCCAGTACGCTTGTGCTAACTTCACAGAACCTCAGTCTGGTTGTGTCAGTCCTTCAGAGGCTACCATTTTTACCCATTAGGGATTTTTCTCTTCCTCCTCTACCAAGCAAGATTGCCTTTTTCCTTGCTATCACCTGGATTAGGAATTTGTTTGAGCTTGTGGCTTTGTCCAGTGAGGAACCTTTTGTTTGTGCTTCGCAAAGACAAGGCTGTGTTGAGATCACCTAAAGTCTTCCTGCATAAGGTAGTGTTGGTTTATTTGAATTAGGACATAGTTGCCTTTTTTGGTTCGATTCCAAAACATCCTAAGATTGCATTCCACTTCTAGGAATGCTAGTTGGATTAGGCAAATCGTTACTCGGGCATATGACCTGAAATATAGGGTTGCTCTCTTTCTTGTGTAGGCCCATTCTAATAGAAGTGTTGGCGTTTTGTGAGCTTTTCAACATCAAGTGCAGGGGCGGACTGACCATTTGAGCAATCGAGCACTGCCCGAGGGCCCGGGGTCAGTAGAGGGCCCCATGAAATGCCCCTGGTACCTTTTTATAGGCTTTTTTTGGGTGTGTTGTGAGTGTGGGCAAGGACACAGGGGCCCCATGATCCCCTATTGCCCGGGGGCCCCATGAGTTGTCAGTCCGCCCCTGATTAGGTGTTTAAGTTTTATAATATTTTTAATTCAGATTAGTGTACAATTCTATCTGTTGGGCAGTAGCTGGCAGATAGGAACTTTTTTTGTTCTGACATACTTACCACCACTCACCCTCTTTCACAGTGGTCATGCGTTGTCATGTAGCAAACCGGTTATGTTTCCAGACCAGCCAACACATTTGTGGAGGAGAAAAGGATATGGTGTATATGGGACATATTTTTTTTTAAATGAGTTAGGAGAAATTTGTTAAACTAGACTTTAAAAAATATATAAAGGAATGTGCTAAATACCAAATCACATGAAAATGCAAATAAATTTATAAGTAAAATAAAAAATATATCTATAAATGTCCGTAATTCATATATAAGTCCAAACACCAATATACAGTTGCAAGAAAAAGTATGTGAACCCCTTGGGATTATGTGGAGTTTTGCATGAATTTGGGCATAAAATGTGCTCTGAACGTCATCTAAGTCACAACAATAGAAGAACACAGTCTGCTGAACATAATACTACACAAACATTAGATGTTGCCATGGTTTAATTGCACATAACATGTACACATTCACAGTGCAGGGAGGAAAAAGTATGTGAACCTTTGGACTTAATAACTGGTTGACCCTCCTTTGGCAGCAACAATCTCAACCAAACGTTTCCTGTAGTTGCAGATCAGACCTGCACAACGATCTGGAGTCATTTTGGACCACTCCTCTTCACAAAACTGTTTCAGTGTAGCAATATTCTTGGGATGTCTGGTGTGAATTGCTCTCTTAAGGTCATGCCACAGCATTTCAATCGGGTTGAGGTCAGGACTCTGACTGAGCCACTCCAGAAGGCGTATTCTGTGCTGTTGCAGCCATTGTTTTGTTGAATTACTTGTATGCTTTGGGTCATTGTCCTGTTGCATCACCCATCCTCTGCGGAGCTTCAGTTGGCGGACAGATGGTCATACGTTTTCCTGCAAAATGTCTTGATAAACTCTGGAATTCATTTTCCCATCAATGACAACGATCCGTCCAGGCCCTGAGGCAGCAAAGCAGCCCCAAACCATGATGTTCCCTCCTCCATGTTTCACAGTGGGGATGAGGTTTTGATGTTGGTGTGCTGTGCCTTTTTTTCTCCACACATAGTGTTGTGTGTTCTTCCCAAACAACTCAATCTTGGTTTCATCTGTCCACAGTATATTTTGCCAGTAGTGCTGTGGAACATCCAGGTGCTCTTTTGCAATCTTCTTTTTGGACAGCAATGGCTTCCTCCGTGGTGTCCTCCCATGTAGTCCATTCTTGTTTAATGTTTTATTTATTGTAGATGTGTCAACAAAAATGTTAGCATGTGCCAGAGATTTCTGTAGGTTTTTAGCTGACACTCTGGGATTCTTCTTTACCTCATGCAGCATTCTGCGCTGTGCTCTTGCAGTCATTTTTACAGGATGAAAATGCTTAGGGAGAGTAGCAACAGTGCTAAACTTTCTCCATTTGTAGACAGTCTGTCTTACCGTGGACACATGAACATCAAGGCTTTTGGAGATACTTTTGTAACCCTTTCCAGCTTCATGTAAGTCAACAATTCTTGATCGTAGGTCTTCTGAGAGCTCTTTTCTGCGAGGCATGGTTCACATCAGACAGTGCTTCTTGAAACCAGTAAACCCAAAACAGGTGTGTGTTTTTTAAGGGCAGGACAGCTGTCAGCAACACATCCAATATCATCACACTGATTGGAGTCAAGGTTGGCTCACTCCTGGCTCCAATTAGCTCTGGGAGAAGTCATTAAGCTAGGGCCTCACATACTTTTTCCTCCCTGCACTGTGAATGTTTACATGTTATGTGCAATTAAACCATGGCAACTCTAATGTTTGTGTAGTATTATGTTCAGCAGACTGTGTTCTTCTATTGTTGCGACTTAGATGACGTTCAGAGCACATTTTATGCCCAATTCATGCAAAACTCCACGTAATCCCAAGGGGTTCACATACTTTTTCTTGCAACTGTAAGTGATTGAAAAAATCTCTTCAAACAAGAAAAAACACCACTGAATGAAATGGGTAAACTCACCAGAGCTATTTGCTGATCAAATTATAAATCAACAAAAATAGCAATTGCTCTGGGAGCGATGATCTTTTTGGAGTATCCAGGAGCAATAGACTGCAATGAGCCAAATCAGCACACATGGAACAGCCTTAACTGCAAGTGGTCATCATGCCTTCATAACTTTGGAAATGCTCGGGGAATCAAAGAAGAGTATCATGGTGCAGTATATAAAAACAAAGATAATTTTTATTGTAGCCTTAAATATGTACTCACAAGAAAGGTGTCCAACCGACATCAGCAATATCAGTCTCAAAAAGCTAAAGCAGGGACAAACCTCGCACACTGCGATCACAGCCCTAGACTTTGCTTTCAGGTTTGAATTGCAGCCACAGTCTATTCCCAGAAGATGCGCCTGCAGATGATTTCTTGCTTGCTTCAAAAGCTAAGCATTAGCTTTAATGTCTTCTTTTGTGACCAACGTGGGAAATAAGACAATAGACACCAAAACAGAAGAAGACCAATGGGATGCATCCATTATTTCACCATTCTACTGTAAGGTGGCACATTTGCTGGGTTACTTTGCTCCTTTGCTTTTATTTTGTTCATGCCACTAAAACTAATTTTGGAATTG